TAAGCTTCATCACAGGAAGCAGAAGGTGTCCACAGTAGAAGCCAGCAAATTAAGCTTCATCACAGGAAGCAGAAGGGGTCCTAGCTCAGAGGGAAGCAAAACCAGAGCCTTGCTTGCGAACCTATGTTGCTGCGACACTTCTGGCTCTCAGAGTGTGTTATATTAGATAGGTCCTTAGGTTTGCAGTGCAGGCTTTGTCTCCCAACAAAGCCTGCCATGAAGGGATTTAGGCCCGGATCCTCAGATTGCCTCGATCACAGAGATCCCAAAGCCATGGTCATGGCACATCTAAGACTCTATAGATTGTTGTTGAAAGGTGGCGGCCCACGACTTTTCAATATCGCTGTTGTTTTTTTTTTCAAAGGGAGGTGGACTCCTCAGACAGTCAGACGAGCCGACCTCCGCTCTTCAGCTCGGCCCAACCTCTCGGCCGAGGTGAGCCGGTGAGCCGGGACGGGCCCGGCTCCGGACGCGCCCAAAACGATGCGGCCTGGCGGCGACGGGGCGGCGGCGACGGGGTCAAGGGCTGAAGGATGTTCGGTTTCTGCCAGGAGGTTTCTGTTCTGTGTGGTTGGGTGGAGTACCCTCCGCTACTTAGGCATCTCCATTGGACACCCATTGGATGGTTCAGGTAGATCTGTTTTTTACCTTTTTTCCAGGATGCTCACAATGCAAAACTCGAACCATTTGAGCTGGGAGATCCAGATGTTTGGTGCCGGCCACGTGTGAGTTCGCTGGCAAGTGCTACCGGGATCACCGGGTTCGCATGTCCCGGGTGCGAGATTTGCATTCCCGCAGCCCAAGCAACGATTGATTGAGCCGATTTCATTAGCTTGTTTTCTCATATACAATCGAACCATAATATATATATATATAGATATTATATTATTATATATATATATATCATGTGTATATATATATAATATACATAAATGTTTTTTGGCATTCGTTCATTCTTCTTCATTTGGGTCCAACTCCTCATTTGTGCGCATTCAAGTGAGAAAATGAGGTTTGAAGCCTATCCGCAGCAAAGGAGATTCTTTTTTCTCGGACAACTTGGCAGTACAGAATATAACAGATTTCATTAGGTCAAAAGCTAAGGGTCTTAATGTGGACGCGTTTCTGTGCGAAAGTGAGTCCCCCTAACATCGTTTTAGTCACTATTTAGAGACACGTTTTTCACAGAGCTAGTTGTCGGTACAATCAATTGTCAGCAGGATGCGTCATGGAGTAGCCTTGCAGGGACATTTACCTTGGCAATTTGACATCTACCCATTTGGACAGCCACAAGACCACTTTGGGCAGCCTGCACAGGTCTCTAGTTCTTGCCCACATCAGTCTATCTCATCTACTTCCTGGCATACCCTTTGCATCACAAACTTGGAACCTATCAGAGAATTGTCCTTTTCCGAGCCTGGCATAAAAAGAGGCCCTTTGTGGGCGAAGTGCTCTGCCCCAGCTAGAAAATGAAGGTTCTTCTGATCTTGCTGGCATCCAAAGGATGCGCGCCTGGCGCGCGCCACTCTGTTGCCACCGGGAATCAGCTCGCTGCGCCGCGCCGCAGGATCAGCTCGAGCAAGATCATTGCTCCACTCAGTCGCCCGGGATCTCAGTCGAAGCGTCGAAAAGGAATTGGAAAACCGGGCGCCAAGGATCCCCAAAAACCTCCCAAGTAGCTCCATGGGACTGGCATATGAAACCCGATCAGTTGGGGTGGTTGAATCGAGGGGTCCGGGACCATCTTCCAGTCCCATGGATTCGGGGAAAGGTGTGGAGAAAGGCCCAGTTAAGGCGAGCTCGACGTGAGAGTTAAGGCTAGCTCGAACATGTCGCGATCCAATCGCCGAACAGGTCGCCCTTTTTGAAGCCCTCAGCCTGTGGTCTTTTTCTGCGGACCGGGCTTTTGGACGTTCGCTCTTTGGAGCAACAGGAGATGAGCGACACAAGATCTCAAATGCGTAGAATTGACCCAGAACTGCAGACATCATAGCAGGAGTTTGACCCGGTACTTCGCCAGGAAACAAGACAACATGTTTCTTGCAGAATCTGCTCCATATCTTTTTGTGTCAGTTTGATACCTGTGAGTTCGACCGTTCATGTTTCGGGCCCAGTGGTGGCTGTGCTCTGCCTGGTCCTGTATGCGGCATTTGAGTCCTCTTCGCACGATGAGAGGCAGGCTGTTTCTTTTTTCCTGGACTCGTTGGCTTGATATCACCACGATATTGTGGGCGGATTTGGTGTGATTTTGCACTTGTTCTAGCCCAGAGAGTTTTTTGTTTTCCTTTTTTTTCTCCTAGCACTGGGAAGAGAATCAGAACTGGGTCCAAAAGCTGAGTCGGAACGGACCAAAGACTGACTCGGCAGGCCGGAATCCTTGGAAGATCCGGGCATGAGGCGGATGAGGCCGGGCAGCGGACCCGGTTCGGTGGATCCGGCACCCTCCCAGGCATGAAGAGGTGGAACGTTCAAGGGAGTCAGGTGTGGTGGTGTCCTGGTGACCCTAGAACGGTGCAATGGTGTGTAGTAAAAAATAGAGAGACTTCCCCCTAACAAAGAAGGAACCGAAACGGTTCAAACACGAAAAGTGCATCGCTGAGCATGTGCAAACCAGACGATTCCGAAGGAATACCACATACGCACAGCATACGCTCTTCGTATCCAGCTCTTCGTTCTCCGTGTTTCAGACTCATTTCCTTCCTTTCCTCCACCATCCCACAAATAGCCGCCGCACGCTCGAGACAGCGCGACAAACGGCCTGTCCTCGAGGCCTTTCCTCTCTTCCCGCAGCTTTGAGATTGGTCTTTGGACACGGTCGAAAGGCGGTCTTTCGAAGCCGCGCGGGCTGCTTGGACGTGGGCGGCTCTCTCCGCGGTTGTAGCAGATGGCAGCGTAGCAGTGTGAGCACACTCTCTGAAGAGATTGTGTAGAATTAGTGCACACCTGGAACTTCCTCAGTGTGTTCTTTTGTTTTTTGTTTTTGATTTGCGGAGTGAACACAATCTTTTGGCGTCACAGCCTTATATTTGAGTTTGCGGATGTTTCTCTAGTTTTCCGTTTTTTCCTGATGTTCCATGGGCGTTTATACACAGGCTACGGGGTTTATTGGTGAGCCACGGGCATTTTTACCGGAACCTTGTATTTCATTCAGCGCGGATATCTATTTCGGTTGTGTCTGTTTGTGTGGTTCACAGACCTACAGAAAGGTATATTGACCTACCGACAAAATAACACCACGAGGTATATCGGTATGACCCTTCATTGGTTGCAACGGTGGATTCTCATTTTCATTGGTTGCAACGTCACTTCCGGTTTTCACTCGGTTTTCATCCGGTCGTAACTCAGAACTTGTTCGGTGTCCTGGTGGGCTTTCCGGTGTGTTTCCGGTGGCGGAACCGCTTTCCGTGGCGGTTCCCCGCGCGGAACCGGCAGGGCACGAGGGACATCCGTCCAGCTCCGACGCGTTCCCGGGCGCCAAGAGGGTCGGAAATCTTCGGAAAAAGCCTCCCGCGAGTGGTCCTTGTTGGCTGGAGGTGTTCTGAAGGCCTGTGGGAGGATAGAACTGAATGAATGGGGGGATACGCTGCACGGCTGCACGAGTGTGTGAAAAGATGCCAGAGGCTTGGCCATAACAGTTGTCAGTCAAGTGGCCATGATCTGACAGATCCAAAGGTGCTCAAAGAATCTCAAAGACATATATTGCGTTCGGTTCGATTAGCAAACAACCAGAAGCGCTGGCCAGATAAGCACTGCCCCTGTCCTGCCTTGCCGAAACCTGGGTCGTCAGTGACTCCTGCGGATGACCTTTTTTTGCGAAATTCCAAGTCTCCGGAGTCTAACACTCAACCCTTTTGGCTTTGCTTTCCCTGCCCAGAGGCCTCCTCTTGCACAGACTTTTCACGCCCGTGCGTCTCCCGAGGGCCTCGGCGGAATCGGTCCGAAGCCCGAGATCCGTGTCCAAGTCCGCGCGTGCGGGTTGAGAATCAAAGCGTGTTACAGAATTACAGATCAGTCAGAAAAAGCACAACAGAAGGCATTCCAGACGTACAACGGATCCGTCACAACGAACAACATCCAGACACCTCCGGACGGATCCGCTTGAAACGGTCACGCGCTTTGGCCCCAAAGGCGCCCCAAAAGCGCTGCGGCGGTCGCCGCGCCTCGCCGGCCAGAACCCGGGACGGCCGCCGAAAAAGCGAGGCTGAGGAAGTGGCGCAACTGCGGCAAGAGCTTGAGAAGGCTCGTGTGAGGCGAGACCCGCCCCGGTCCGATGCCGGACCTCGTGCGTTCTTCTTCTCCCCCCAAGTCCGAGGGTTTATATAGGCGCCGAGAAGTCCGGTTTTTGGGTGCCGCAGTCACGTGGGTTTCGGGCCGAAGAGATCGAAGAGATCGAATCACTCGTCATCAGATCGCAGCCCGAGACGACGATGAACGACAAGGTCTCGCATCATACCACGACGTGAGTTTTGGGACATCACGACGAAGTCACTGCTGATCCCGCACATCACCCCACGGAGCATCCGCTGACCAACGATTGTAAAAAACATCCGCCAGGGAGACCTAAGTATCCTCTAGACTCTAAAGCCCCTCCATAACACTGTTTAACACTGGTACAGCCGATTGAAGAGATGAGACAAGACTAGGTCATAGGCATAGGTATCAGACTATCATTTTTTTTCTTTGACTTTCTGGCCTTCAGGGGTGTCTGTGACCGCAAGTCTGATAACCAGATGGGAGGCCTCCGGAAGGCCTCAGGCCTCCGGACACCTGTCAGGACGGAGCAGCAAGCCGCCGAGCTGTCGCGCCTGCGACCACGCTCGCCGGCTCGCGGCTCGAGTGCAGGCTCCTTGGAGTGGAGGTGAAGGGCGGTGGGCGGTGAATCGTTCGGGCGGTGTTTCGGCTTGAATCGTTCGGGCGGATGTTCTAGGGTAAACATAATGTAGACTCTTGATTAATACACCCCCTCGGTTTGAATTGAAGATCCTCTTCAAAAGGGGGTTTTACATTAATATGCAAACATTCAACGTGGGTATGTTTTCTGGATATAAACAGAATATGCTTTCCAGTCGACTGCTCATTGGACGGTTTTTTGCAATTTTTGATCCCAACGAAGAGCTTGCCTTGTGGATTGACATAGTTGCAAGAGCTAGCCAGGCCAAGAAAGCGCTGACCCTGCCGGACCAAGGCAAAATAGCAAAAACGGGTTGGCTGCGGGGAAAGCAGGCTGGTTGGTGAAAGAACTAGGACAACCCCCAGAACTCATGTTCAAAGGACAACCAGGGATTTCTCTTTTTCCTGACACAACTCAAGTCGACGTCGACCAAGACGAGCTGATGGGACTTGGTGATTCATTGAAAGAGACATGATGACTCCTAGGACCCACAGCTTTGGGGAAAAGCTGAGGTGAGCGCCCTGTGGAGGAGCTACGGGCGCGTGGTGGCAACCACAAGCCTTATAGGGGCCTAGAGGTGTTTGTTCATCAACATGGATGTGCATGGTTTCAGCCTAGGGTGACTTTTGTTCATCGCAAGAATTGACTCAAACCCGATTGGGTACTGGAGGTGGCTTCAGTCAGAGTACCGCTGACATTCAATTGCAGATTGCAAAGGCACTCAAAAGCTCAAAAACCCATCAGAAAAGAAGGAACCTTTCCCTGTGCAACCGATTTGGAGGCAGAGGATCTTGCAAGCTTGCAGTTGTAGCTGGTCTCATGTCGCTTCGGAATCCGGGACATTTTCTGTTTGGGAGGATCAAACTTCAGGAGATCTGCCACGACGCAACGCGCCGTTTGACCCCAGCCATTCCTCCGCAGTTGGAACACACTGCCCGCCTCCAGGACTCCGAGCCAGATGCTTCGAAGGACGCGCCGAAGGACGGCGGGGGGGTCTTCGGGTCGAAACGCCCAGCAAGGTTGGAGGTTCTGGAAGATGGGTTTAGAAGAGAGCCCTGCCCTACCATGTTCATTGGTGTCCCCACTGAACATGAACAGGTTCACTACGACCCTCGATCCAGAGTGTTCAGGGTCCGCAATCTCAATTGAAGATTGCATGGATGGTGGAACAGGTGGAAAACGGTCAACTGTTGGACTGAGGACTGTTCAGTCGTTTCTTTCAGCTGAGGACTGGTTTCTGGCTTCTGTGTGTCAATTTGACCAGAGCGTCAGAGCGTCACTGTCTGGTATGACAGGTGGAAGTAAGGTGGAAAGCAGTGTGAGCAGCCTCTGGATTTTCCAGGGAAACCAACGGAGTCAGCCGTCCCGAGCATGCAGGCGATTCGTACTGAACTGGGAGTCTTGCTGTGAAATTCGCACCGAAGACACCTCCACTGAACTGGTGGGACACTTCCAGCGTCGTCACCGAAGACTCCCAGAGGGTTGTACTCTACTTGCTATCTACTTGGTATGGGTCAAGACGACCGAACTTGGAGCAGGTTCAAAATGTCAGATCCCTGGTATAGATATATTAGTATTAATTATATATGGATAGATAGATAGATAGATAGATAGATAGATAGGTAGATAGGTAGGTAGGTAGGTAGATAGGTAGATAGGTAGATAGGTAGATAGGTAGATAGGTAGATAGATAGATACATAGATAACTAGATAAATAGATGGATAGATTAAACTGAAGGCCTCGTTTCACGGGCTTTCAGCTGCTTTTCCATACCGTTTCCGGGGTCTCAGCAAAGAATTCTGCCTCTTTGGAGGTCCCTCTTCGTCCGCTCAGGAGGCTCCAGAGATCCCGCCCAGTCTGTGGCGAGAGCCTCCTGAGGTCGACGGCAGAGGGGAAGGTGGACAGGGTGCTGGTCAGTCAAAGGTAGGGGAATTCGGGGAAGGTGTATTGGCCGGTGTACTGGTGTATTAGCTGTCTTAGTACATCTGAGTACCACGCCCTAGGAGTTCTAGGCAGATTCTGCCGCCTGCCCGCAACTTGATTCCTAGTAGCGTCCTTGTTCCTAGTAGTGAGGCCAGGAGCCCTGTTCGTAGCGTCCTTGCTCCTAGTAGCGATGCCAGGAGCCCCTATAGCTGAGAGATTTGACCTATGTTGTTTGGTTTGGACCCTGCAGGGTCAGGGTTTTCCCGTGGGACCGAGCTGGGCATGTTCTTTCTGTGGGTGTGTCGAGATAGGCATCCCAACAGGCACGTTTCAAAAGGACTTCCACCCGAAAAAGACCACAGTAAAGTGGATCCATCAGGGGTTCATTGGCCCTGTCTGCTTCTTTGGTTGCCCTCTGAATCACCTTCACCTATATTCTACCAGCAGGATGACCACCAGCACTTGCTAGTGGAATTCCACACATTGACATGTCCACACCGCCCGTCCCCCGCCCGCGGGGAGGTCTCGCCGGCGCCGACTCCGAGTCCTCGCGGCGAAGCGCCGGTGCCGGACGTGAAAGAGGAGATCAAGGACTGACTTGGAGCGCTTAGAGAAGAGGGGGTTCTACTCACCAACAAACAAAACATCTGAGAAAATCATCGATTGGAATGCCACTGATTTCGAGAAGGCAACATGGTCCAGGGGGAGCCGGTTTGAAGGCAAAATCGTCTACCTGGAGCTGGTTGAAAGTCAAAATGGTCTACGGGGAGCCGGTTGAAAGGGGAAATTGTTTAAAGTCAAAATTGTCTACCAGGAGCCCGCTTAAAGGCAACATTGTTTATGGGGGAGCCGGTTTAGAGGGAAAATCGTCTACAAGGAGCCGATTTAAAGGCAAAACTGTCAACCGGGAGTTTAAAAGCAAAACTGTCTACCGGGAAAGTGGTCTACGGGAGCTGGTTTAAAAGCAACATGGCCTACGGCCAGCTGGCTTAAATGCAAAATGATCTATGGGAAGCCGGCTTAAAGGCAAAGTGGTCTACGGGGAGCCGGTTTGAAGGCAATATGGTTTGCGGGGGCCCGGTAAAATGGCTTGCGGGAAGCCGGATGGCACATTAAATAGTTTACCAGGAGCTGGCTTGAAGACAAAATGGTCTATGGGGATCGGGCCGGTCGCAAAGAAGTACTTGAGGTATCTTGAGGTGCATCCACCACCCTTCAAAAACAACTTCCTCGCAACAACAGTCGCAATCTGCGCAAGCTGTGCGACCAACCACGCCCTCTGAGACGGGCCAACTCAAGCAAAGCTCCGTTCCCCCGGGGAAGTTGCCCCAGATGAGAAACCGAGTGACTGCAGATCCAGCCCTCGGGAAGCTCGGCAACCAAATGAACAAAACGTCCGTCTATTTCTTTCGGCCTCCTGCCATCACAACTCTGAAGGCCCTGTACTTCGAGGATCGTATGCAGTGTCTATGAGAATCGTCCTGCAACTCATGTCCATGTTCACAAAGATTCGCAGTACGCAAGACTGGGGATGGACTTGCAAACATGTTTTTGTTTTTTTTCCTCAGCCAGCGACGGTACAAATTGATGTAGGCATGTTTGTCCAAGTAGTAATTGAAGAACTCTTCAACATATGAAACTAACCATGTGCCATATTGTTGTTGACAGTTAACAATTAGAATATACGTGGGGACTTGCTGTGACTTGCTGAACTCAAAAGTTGGAACTCAAACCTTGCCACATGACAACTCATTTGTGGTTTCTCTAGATGTTGATTCTACCAGCAAGATGCAGCAGGTAAAACCAGGCCACGCCCGAAGGGTTTTTTAAGGGTGTGGGGCCCGAGGGGGGTTAGTATTACCACTATATGACATATTCTTCTTGTGCTGGTGCCTCCTCCAGTTCCCCCTTTGGCATTATCACTATCTTTTTTCAGGGGAGGTAGAGGAGTTGTTCCTTCGTTATTTCGGGTGCCGCCGCCACTCCGAATCCCCCCAAGCCCCAATCAGCACCAACTCCTGTTGGTCCCTCCCCGCCCCCCCCGCCCAACCATTTTCCTTTTGAGGGGTTGTGGCTCCAGTACTATTATTTTTTTGGTGGCTCTCGGTAGCACAGTTGCTCTTTGGAGGACTTTTGTAGCACAGATTCCTTTGGGGCTAGTTGGAAGCCTTCCAATACCCCACACTTCTCTTGGAATGCCTTCCTGTAGCACATATTCCTCTCGGAGAGCGTTCCCTAGCAGAGCTTAATAAGGTGGCTCTTTGGATGGCTTCTTCAGCACAAATTGCTCTTGGAAGCTCTTTGATGCTGACACTGAATGACCATCGCTTGGTCAGCTGGACACGGGCGACCCTCCGAGCGACCCTCCGAGCGACCCTCCAGGACAGTACGATCACTGCCTGAGGGCTCAGAGTCGGACGGGACGTCGAGCAGGAGAGTGGCTGGGCAGGCCACCGACGGACTGAGGAAAGACCACATCTATCTATCCATCAAATATCAGGATAAAGTCGAGTTCCGCAACTGCGCAGGATTCCGCAACTATTTGGTCAGATTCCGCAACAGGGATTCCGCAACTAGGATTCCGAAACTAGGGTTCCGCAACTGGGATTCCGCAACTAGGTTTCCGCAACTATAATTCCGCAACTAGAATTCCGAAACTAGGATTCCGCAACTGTCAGGATTCCGCAACTAGGATTCCGCAACTAAGATTCTGCAACTGGGATTCCGCAACTGGCGTTCCGCAACTAGGATTCCGCAAAATTGTGGATTCCCTCACTAGGACTCCGCAACTTTTGTGAATGATGAGGGGGTTGGCGTGATGTCGAGATCACACGATGGGGACAAGGGGGGGTTGGGGGGGTCGGGGGGTTGGGTGGGGGGCTAATGACGTCGGTTTGGACGTGCTTCGAAGATGAAGTCACAGGCACACGCTATCGCATGATGTGGAGATCACCAGTTGCAGAATACCAGTTCAGAATGCCAGTTGCAGAATCTGACTTTCCAGTTTCAGAATCGCAGTTTCAGAATACTAGTTGCAGAATCTGACTTTCCAGTCTCAGAATACAAGTTGCAGAATCCCAGTTTCAGAATCCTAGTTTCAGAACCCCAGTTTCAGAATCCTAGTTTCAGAACACCAGTTTCAGAATACCAGTGTCAGAATCCAAGTTTCAGAACCCTAGTTTCAGAACCCCAGTTTCAGAACCCTAGTTTCAGAATCCGACCCATTAGTTTCCGAATCCGGCTCCAACCTCAAATATCATCTATCCATCCATCCATCCATCCATCCATCCATCCATCCATCCATCCATCCATCCATCTTCAAAAAAGAACTTCGGTCACTTTCGATTGAGGGAGGCAGAGCACCTTCGAAGCCAGGGGTGGAACCACCCATTTTTCCACCGCTCATGGATGAGCAAAGCCCGAGGTCAAGACTGGAGACAAGCAGATCATCTTGCAGATCGGCAAGGCGAAGCGAACGGACGTGGCCGTTGGTGGTTTCTTTTTCTCCAAGGGCAGGTAAAGGTGGTGGCCCTTTTTGCCCAAACGCAACGTGTTGTCTCTTGGCAAGATCGTTTCCGACACCAAAGATGTGACAGCTCATCTGAACATACAGTATATATATATATATAGACCCCAAACAGATCGAAACGTAAAATCCCTTTCAACATGTATCGGAAACCGTTTCTATCTATTTTGGAACCACTAGATCTGAACGTGATTCCAATTGGAGACTCTGTCACATGATGATTCCAAGCACCCAGACGCGACCCTGGACCGGGGCCGTACCCGAATCCTCTGGAGGGGTCCGGACCCTCAAATCCCTATGGTTTTGAGGGACCAAGGCCTGTTTGGAGCGTTTGGGCATGAGATTTTACCGTTTCAGCGCTAACAGCAGATTGGGCTGCTGGTGGCTCGTCGGTCGGATAACAACTGCCAGGAGCCAGAGACGAGCTCCACCAGCCAAGGAGCTGCGAGAGCGCAATCGGTGAGTGTGGGGTGGAGAAACAAATAGGTCAACTCCCAAACTAAAACCAACAAGCTAACCAACAAAGCAACCATCCTTCCATATCCTTCCTGATTGTCTCGTTGGGTCCATTCCCATAGGTGTTGTACAGCTTCACGTGCCCTTTTGGGGATCCTCCTTAAGGCCATGGGTTGGTTGATCCGGCTACTAGTATCCCCAGGTTGGTTGCTGGGTGGCCACTTGGTCGTAGTGGCCCTTTCTAAGATCAAGGGTTCTGGTGAGTCTTCTTTTGTGACATGGGGACACCTTTTTCGTTCAACCATGTTCACCCGACCAGTCCACCATGTAGCGAAAGACCCACCTCCAATAATGTAGGTCCACCTAAGGTATCCAGCTCAAACCCGGGGTATAACACCCCATGGGATGCATAGATGTCTGCGCTCGGATAGAGGTAACCGCAGACGGCGTGTTACCAAGCAAGGCCAGTGAGGCTTGATGGTTCGACCAGTGAGGCGACGATGCGCCTTTCTTCATGTGCAGCTAACCCTTAAGAATCAGTGTCAAAACATATCAAAATCAGAGCTGACCTTTAGCATTCAGACAGACCCGAAAGACCCAGAGGATAGGAACCGGTATCGTCTGAGCTGAGCTGACTTGTATCCTAGCGCGAGGATGGCAAGGGAAGGGTGCACGGAAGCCTGGAGAGCAGTGAAGATCAGTGTTTTGAGGCAACTCTTCGGCCCTTCCTTTGGCCGTTGCGAGAAGCGCTTCTTTGCCCATTGAGCCAAGGTGGAAACCACGACTCAGGTGTGCCCGAGTTGCCTGTCATGTGGGCAAACTGGGTGAAGTCTGGTTGGAGAGACGACATGAGACGACCCTGTTGCTTTTGTTCGGGTATGAGCTTCCCTCACAAAGCAACATGTGAACCTACAGATTGTCTGAAGACACCGAGGACAGGATTCTTCTTTAGCCGGCTCAGGACTCAAAACGGTGTTCTTTTCATGATTTTGATTTCACCATCCAAAACACATATTATATACTGATATTAGCCAATCTTCGCAAATACCTCCAGCGTAAAATGTGGATCACCTGTTCTAAGTGCGTTCTTCATTCAATCTGACCAACATAACAATTTTGACACGTAGCGTAGCTGAAGTAGCTGTGCCTTTTTTTTGCATCTGTATATTATATAAATCCGGGAGACCCTACCAACCCATGGGTAGCCTGGTCTATGTTGGTCTGTTTTCCGAACCTTCACCTGACCCCCGCCGCGGCGTGCGCCGTGAGGCGTCCGTCGTGCTCGCCAACGCCACGGAGTCCAAAGGCAATGTGAGACGCGTGAGCGGTGGATGTGCGCGCCGGTGCGGGGGGAGGGTCAGAGGACGTGTGTGAAAAGAGAACACGTTGAGTTTTTGATCCGAAAAAGAATCGAAGAAACCCATCAAGCAAAGCCATGTGTTTCACATGGCTTTAAGCAACTCGTCTGAACTGTGCTGCCAGGTGAGAGTGATGGCACCCTCATCACCGTCCGCTCTGGGCAGTGGGGCTGCCCGAAGGGGACAGGGCGGACGGCTCATGGCCGACTCCCGTTGGCCGAACCAGGCGAAACGGTTGAGTGACGGATGGTCCAACATCACACCTTGCGAAGCAAACGGGAGAGGAGCGAGGATGAGCAGTATTGGCGTATCCGCATGAACACCTTTGGAAAAGGGAGCCGAGGAGCTACAAGGAGTTCCCCCATGCCCTTGTGCTGGCTAAACCTCATGCGACTGGCCTCTGGATGGTGTACATGTGTTTCGACCGATTTTGGAGGATTGACTTCGGTGGACCCACGTGGTGACTGTGAGGTCCGAGGTGCTCTTGAGGTTGAGAGTCCCTCAAAACTTGTATACTCCCTCAAAACTGGTCTTCCACGAGTCAATTCTCAGGGGGTAGTCGAATTATAAATATATAGTTGAGTTATATATATATAGTCTAGTCTGTAGTTCATTGTCCTTCGAAGTTCGAAGGACGTTGAATCTGGGGTGCTTTGGTTTGAGTTGGATCCAAGAAATCGAAACCTTTACCGTTGTCTAGCCGCTAGCGGCTGATGCCTGAATTCTGAATAGGCTGAGATATACCAAACAGGCTGATGCCTGGATGCAACAAAAACAAGACACACCTATAAGTTGCTTGCAGTCTGCATGACACTTTACCAAACGGCCAAAGGTTTGTGCACGCAGAGAGCAATGACCCTGGAAGACAATAGGTACACCTCGTAATTTTAGATTTTTGTGCAATGTTTGTTGGCTGGCCTTGGCCACCACCTTTGTTCAAAGGTGAATCCCCTCCAAAGCCCGTCTGAAACGCTGAGCTTCTATTGGGAATCTTTTGGATCCTTTCTTTCCCATTTTTCTTCCACGGCGCACAGCGCCCGCCGTTCGTTCAGAACACCGTGCGTTCCTGCGCGTTTTGGCTCGACCCCAGGCAGTCCATCGTGATTCAGGTCCGCGATGAGCAGGCGACACGGGTGTACGGAGTGAACAGGTCTCAGACTCCAGCGGAGTGCACGGATGGAACCTCAGACACAGAGAGACAGGTTAGTTTCTGACTTGGTGTCCCAGACGGGCCTTTCTTTTTTAAAGCACACATCTCACGTCTCCGAGTCCTGAGTCGCGAGCTTCAAAATCAGATGTCTGGTCTTGCTTGGTCATTCCGACTCGGATGTGACATCTGACGCAACGAGTTGGAAGGAATCGGCACATCACCCTGTGGAGGGACCGGCGCGGCAGCACGGCCGCACGGCCGATAGCTTCAGACCAACCGATAGCGCTGAACATCCGATTGAGAGCACCGTGGTAGGGGAGAGACCCCCCGATCGCCCCAAGGGGTAGACTGATCATGACTGGTCTATAACATGTCCTTCTTTGGTTCCAAATCCTTCCTTCTTCCAAGGGGGTCTCTCTCTCTCTCGCCCGGGAGCGCGCTCTCTCTCTCCCCCTCTCTCCCTCCCTCCCTCCCTCCCTCCCCCCTGGGGTCCGGCAGCTACTTAGACAGCCGGACAGACGGGGTCGGACCCGTCAGGCGACCGCTTCGCCCAGCTCCACTTCTTCGCTCGCGTGGCCGCCGAGCGCCGGGGGGGGGGCGGAGGTCTCTACTCGGCTCAGCCACACGAAGCATCCCCATCTCTGTGGATGGTCCACACGGTCCAAGTTGATGGAATTCATTTGAATTCATGGATCAGCGCGTGCACAGGCTGTGAGCTGCCCGCCATCGCAAGAGGAAAGAGAGGTATTTTCGTACTCCAAACAACCCATGTTTGGGATATTTGCCTCCAGTGGGGCTCAGTGAGGTGATTTCAAGAAAGGTTGATATCTAGATATTCCAGAGGATTCCATGCATGGATGGTTTGGGATGGGTGAAAGATTCATGCTTGGTTTAGGTATGTTTGGGTCTTGTTTCCTGTTCTCGTCGCGCGTTGTGCCCCGGCCCCCAGAAGCTCATTGTAGAAGGGAACGAAGCGTGTTTCAGCTGAATGCGTTGAAGGTCGCCAGGCCAGAGCAGCCTTCCGGCCACCCTTACGGCCACCCTTACGGCCTTAAACATGCTTGGGGTGGAGGTGGGGCTGAGACGTTCCAGCACTTCTGCTGAGGAGTTGACCAACACCACGGCGCTCGCTGCGGTGAAGGTGCGGGACTCGGTCTGGACGTCGACGTGGAGTCTCTCTGCTCGAAGGACGTCTTTTGGTATGCTCTGCTTGCAACAGGCATGCACAGGCTACTTGGTGCCATGCCCCGCGTCTTTGGGATGTGGCATGCATCATCGAAGTGGTCCGGTGTTGGGCGAAGCTGCGCGCGCTGGCCATCATCCTCATGACTTCAACATACAGCACAGGGTTTTCGACTGAGTGGTTTATACCTGCCACATCCAGCCCTGGTGGTTAGAACATGTTAGAACCTGGGCGACTCGTACCCGAACGCCCCTTGCCCGCCCGCCCATGGGGTGGCGACTCATATGGACTCCTTGGCCTTGTGGTTGCGCACGGACGCTGCTTCTCGTGCGGCCTGGATGAGCGATGAGCCGCGTCGCTCCGATGCGTCGCGTCCGATGCTTCGCTCGGCGGGCGACCCGTGCAGGTCGGCGTTCCCCAAACCGGACCGGCGTCGTTAGCCCAGGTGGCCTGCTCAAAAGAAACGCGTGGAGGGGCGGTGAGAGAGAGAGAGAGAGATGCTGCAAAGCGTGATGGACGGCAGGGAAGAAAAGCACAACAACATCCGTTCCACAACACATCCGGCTCATGACCGCAGCCGCCAGGCTGATTTTGTCGCTAGGCTGATGCAGACAACATGGCAGCCATCAGATTGGGAAGGACTTTTGCTTTTCAAGAAGCTCTTAGAAATGGTGCCTTTGTGATCCTTTGTGCAGAAAGCCACATGCTGGATGGCTGGATGGCGGCCGTGAAGTCCCCCCTCCCCCCGCCAGGATCATCTGAAAGGCGACGAAGACACAAGGAACCAAGGAATGCATTTCGCGAGCTGTGCTAGCACCCACCCAAAGGTCCAAGGCGGTGATGGTGTGCTGCCTGGTGATGTGTGCGAGCCTGCAGGGATTGGTCCAATATCCAACCATGCGTTGGTCTAGCGACAGCAGGCAGATATTTGCCAAGATTATTCCCTGGCCCGGCCCACACATATACTATATGTATCTACATGTATATATGTCTGCCATGAGACTGCTTGCTCATGCTTTGCTCTTCCATCCTGCAGGCCGTCAACTGTTTCTGGAGTTGTGAGATTGTGTGGCTCTCTGCTGAAGCTGTATGGTTTTGAAGTGGCTCAGGGACGGAGGGAAAACACATCCATACTTAACGACGCGAGGGGCCCGATTTATACAATTTGCAAACTGTAGATTCAAGACGATGCGCGCGAGGCAAGATTTGTTTTAAATTGGACCAGATTAACTATGATGAACTCACTTGCAACAACTTTCCCGTGGGAGGCTTTGCCAGAGCTGCCTGAGCTTCCTCCCTTGGCTGAGGCGCCATTTTTGACTGGACGAAAACTCGAGCGACGGAACTCGACCGTCTTGGGGCGGCCAAGGCCGAAAAGGCAAACAAAGTCATGGGCCGCTGATATAAGGTGATTTTATTACCCTATAGGCCCTATAGTTAAGTCATGTTAAATTCCCTTCTGGGGAATATTTTTGAAATGATGGCTGATGGCCAAGACCTCCCAAGACAGCATTCCGCAAGACGTCTCCCCAAGCGCCTTGATGCGTTCTCCCACAGGAGGTGGTTCCGAACCGCGAGTCGGAGACCTTTGCAGGTGGGTCCGATCGCGGTGAGCTTTGGGGCCCTTTCATTCCCTACTCACCGGAGTTCCTACCCTCATCCTTTGTAATATGGAGCGGAATGTGGCACGATTCTGCAGTGGAGCAGGATCATAAAGGATCTATCCATCAACAGTCCCACGTCATATGTGACACGGAAGGGGGGATGGTTACCAGGAGCGGACCACTCCGGGGTAGAAAGAGAAGACATCCTGGGTCCTGTGCAAAAAGAGGAGAGTCCCCGGAGACAGTGCTCAGTCCTCAAAATGGAAGACTCCTCAACAGAGCTTGGTGCTCAGGAATGAGGGACACCGTTGCCCAGGGGAGATTTCGTAGAAGTGCAGCACTCTGATGAGTTGCGCGGGTCCTTTGGAGCTTGTTGATGTTCGCGTTCGCTCGGAATCCAACGTTGCTGTCGCTCGTCTCTCATCCTAGGGGCCGAACGGTTCGCTCAACCGTTCAAGGCTTTGGGACGTAGTCTGTTCTCAGGTCTGGCGGCAGAGGTGGACGTTTCCACTACGACCGAGCCAGAAGAGGAGGCAGCTGCCTCTCACTGACCTTGCGCAGTGCAAGACTGTGGGCGTCCTCGTAATTTCAGCACTCACAACCCTTTAACATCCTTTAACCCTGGTCTCCTTCCATGGCAAGGACATGGAAGCACCATTGTAAACCATCGTTTTATGATGTCTGTTTAATGCTGTTCGAGGTGTTTCGCCCTGTCCATCCCGAGTATTCCAAGCCTAGGAGTCGACCACGACCAAAGGCCCAAGACTCAGTCAACATGGAGGGCTTTGGGTGACGCCCAGAGCACATGAGAACTTGGCTTTTCACACCACTTCGAACGCCCGTTGACAAGATTGACAGAGAAAGGGATTCCAGACCAAGGGTCCAAAATGGATCCAACTGGTTGAGGTCATCGATCAGTGTCTCTGTCCGTCGTTCAGTGTCTCTGTCCGTCCGTTCGATCGCCTCCCGTCTTTCCGAAGGGTCCACGTCCGAGGAAATCCGGCCTATGCCAATCTGGCCCTGCGGACCCGCTAGGGTCGTTGAGGCGGACCCTGAGCGGACCGGTGGGGCGGACGTGATGAGCATCGTCCGACTGTCACGGATCGCCCCCAAGGGGCCGCCAGGACGCTCGAAAAGCCTGTTTCAGTGGGTGGAGGGTTGGTTGCCGGACACCTGGGCAACCCGAGCAACTTTTTCGCGTGAAGGTGGATCACCAGAAGGTTTTTCTCGAGCAGTGACTAGGAAGACCATGGAATGTCCATCTTGAATCTTGATCCAGTTTGATGGGGCAATGGGAGGGCAGCAATGGTGGCAATTGATCACACACCGCAGATGCATGCAGGTACCACACAGGCTATACTCCTAGTAACGTAACGGAACCTGAGTGACCTCCATTTTGGAGGATCAACTATCCTATGGAATTTCCCTACCAAAACGGAGGTCAAAGTTCTGGGTGTATATGTATATATTTGTAGGGCAATGCAGGGCAGGTCGGTGTCTCTTGGGTCTTTCGTTGCCGCTTCATTCGTAGCGGTCGCTCTTGTGAGGGTATCTCCGTGACTGACTTCTGGCGAGCGAACCGAATTCCAGACCTCGTCTGGTTCCGTCGGCAGACTGAGGTGGCAAAACCTTGGAGCCATGCCACTCTGTCCATGGGGCCCAAAACGACGCCCTTCAAGCTGGTTGAAGCTCTCAAAGCTGACGACATCGGTCCGAGTCCAACCCTTCATGCAGCACGGAATCCATGGATTTGTTGAAGGGAACATTTAGTTACAGGAAACCAGGGCTTTCACCCATCAAAACCATCGGATTCCTGGATCAAATGATCTCACACCAATTCGATTCGACTGTGTATTTTATGTACAGGGGTCCCGGGAGCCATCCATTATATTGAAAGTTGAGAGCCATGGCCATGTACTCCCCAGATAGTGTAATCCTTATTTTCGCCCAGCTCGGCGTCAGACCGTCGCAGGCTGCTTTCCACCGCTGCTTTCCACTGTGAGGGTGTCTGACGTGGACGGTGTCGTCCGCGGGATCCTCGCCCGGCCTCCTTTGTGAGGCCCTTGTACAAAGCAAGATGTCTCACAGTGTTAGTTAGAGAAACAGGAGGTGGATCAAAAGCTGAGGTTTAGGTTCTTCTTGTCGCCAAAAATTGAGAGAATCTCAGTGATTGGTTGTGATGGTTCTTTTGGGCCTTAGGCGTCAGGTGTTTTTGACCCATCTCCTGTCCTTGGGGGCTGAAGCTTGTTCTGGAACGGAAGGACGGCCAACAGCAGTCTGAGAGTCCCTTCTTTCTGGCATGAGTCAGGGTGTAATTCAGCCCTGTTGCAGCAGATGAGCCACAGTGGAATCCGCGAAATTCAAGCGACTCGGGAAAGAATTGACCAAGATTGTCCCCGCAGGTTTGAGCACCACATTCAAGAGAACTCTCTGCATAAACCAGTTTTCATTCGAATTTTATGGCTCATCTCCCGATGACATCTCCGCTTCTCGAAGCAAAGGTTTCTTGGCGCATGGGCGGTTTGGATCATTTGGCCAGAGCGTCTGCCAGAGTGGAGACCTCGTGGAGACCATTTCTCCATGCTTGGTTTCTTGGGCTCTTTCTTTTGGCATGCTTGCAGATGGTGGGTCCTTTCCTCTCGCATCATCAACCAGACTGCCAGAGACTGTCGCAAAGGGTTAGTCTCCAGTCACGCACTCCTGCGATTGGCCACGCTGCACGCTGCAGCTTTGGCTAGCATGGCGAAGTAAGCACTTCGCCACCGCACCCCGCGGGCGTGGGCGACGCGTAGCGCCACGTTGGGGCGCGGCCGGGAGCCCATCGATGGCTTTCGTTGCGTGTAGACGAATGATGAACTCTCCACAGGAGCTGCGAAGAAGCACTAGTGACTCGCTAGGAACATTGTATATAGTCACCAATCTGATCATGTGCGAGGCTTGGACTATCTTCTAGCAGGATGCAAAGTGGGGTTTCACTTGCACCTTTTCGGTGTTTTGTTTGGATCCTCTTCAACAGAGCACGCCGCAAAAACCTTTCTCCGACGAGGTGGCCAACAGCATGGTGTCCGTGGTGATTAAGCCGCTGGGCGAAAGCGAGACCCCGTGGGCCCCTGTGGGCCCCGCACAGCCCTGAAACCGGCCCTGAAACCGCAGCCCCGATGTTGGAGCGATATGGAAGTGCTGGGAACTGGTGCCTTGAAAAGGAGAGGACACGAAGGGGACACGGAATGGCCCGGGCATGCCGATAGTTGGTTATTACGAGTACTTTTCAGGTCTTTGCCTCTGGGACGTACGTCCGCACTCCGGAAGTTGGTTCATCGCGTCGCAAGATGACTCGAGATCACTCCGGATCTGCCGGGAGCAGCTTCACCGAGAAACCGTTCGCACTGGGCGGATAGCGAGGCAAGAGGAGCGTTGCCAACTCGTGGTGTGCCGTCACGGCCAGGACCGGGCGGTAAGGAGCTTGGAAGCGAGAAGGATCGGGCGGTGGATGAATGGATTTCTAGCTTCTCATCCGGTACCCTCATTCGGACAGGGTTCTTGACCGAGGTCTAGAGGTTTTGAGTCGCACCGCAGCAACACTAATGGATTTTGATCTATTTTTCCTTCCAAGCGCTCGAGCTTCCCTTTTTTGGGTACACATTCATTCACTGTACATTTTTGCATGTTGTAAGCATGCACCTGTGGGCGAAACCTCGCCATGCCGCATGGCCAAGGATTATGGTCGGGTTGCTGCAGTGAGACTGAGAATTTCACCCGTTTCAACGAACCTTTTTTTTCTCTCCAGACCCTTCAGAGAGCCTGTTTGCTCACAAAACACTTCCGGGTCTCCGAGGACACGCCGTCGTGACCGCCTGCAGATTCCTGCAGGACCAAGCAAGCGGGCAGAAGTTCGTGTTGAAGTCCGGGGGTCCTGGAGGAACAAGAGCTATGCAGCTGTGCAGGATGCGGGGAATGAGCCGCATACGGTACTCACACACTCTTGCTCTCACTCTCTCACCCTCTCACACTCACTCACTCGCTCGCTAGCTCACTCACTCGCTCACTCACTCACTCACTC